GACAGAGGACATGATGGTTGGACAGTGTCACTGAAGCTACCAACATGAATTTGACCCAACTCTGGGAGGCAGTGGAAGACAGGAGGGCCTGGTGTGTTCTGGTCCATCGGGTCATGGAGAGTTGGACATGACTTAATGACTAAACAACAAAATAGAACATCACTACAGATAAAATGTTGCATGCATCTTAGGACATCACATCACTGCCCCCTTACTTATTTAGCCATTTAATGACAAAGCTGCCACTAAGTGACAAAGGCTGCATGCTAAAGAAGATACTTACAAGAACAATTATCCCATTTCAGATTTCATGTGCTTGACAGGCTGCCAAAGCCAGAGAGTAAGGTACTATTTGTTACAAGTACCCCCAAAACTTTTTTGACCAGTCAGAATATTTGGAATGAGTTTGGGATACCATCACAATTTTTTTTTTAAATCATTTGTAGCCATTTCTAAATTGGCTGCCATGCTGATGGAAAATATATTTCACTACTGGACAAACTGGTGGAGCTGAAGGACAAGCAAATTGCTCCAGAAGCTGACTATATGGGGAAGGTGGAAAGCAAGAATCCAATATAAAATCACTTCTTTGTACCCCTCATTTTCTGCTGCAGACTGGATACTCATTTCAAAGGAAGGCAAACTGGTGACTTCATCCAGACTCAGTAAAAGGCTGAAGTGGGAGCAAGGCCTCAAAATGCAAAATCATTTTTTAAAATTCCCAATTTTGTTTCAGGACACAAGCACACATGTCCCCAACAAAGCACTCTTCACCATGCAAACCCAGCATTCAGGGACTCTTGTCTTGTACTCCCAACACTGCAAATTCATTTGCATTTTCCAGGATTCTCTTTTTGATTCATCCACATAGACCCCTCCACATTTTCATCTGCCCAAATGTCACCCCAAACGCCTCCTGACCTTTTTAAACTGCTCTCTGCTGCTTCTCCCTTATACAGGTCATCTACACTCTCCCACTCCCGTATCAGATGATCCCACTGCTCCCTTATCCTATCCATCCCAGTTGTTTGTTCTGTTGGATCAACCTGCCTGCTTTTGCTCTGTACCAGATTGCCCTCATGCAACCTGATGCAGGGCAAAGCCTTTATCTTTATGAGTTTGAAGTGCTGGAGCTTTCTTTTTATTTTCAGTCTAGTATGCTTTGAAGTGAACAGCTGACTTTCACTTGCCCACAACCTTTACTTCTCAAGAATCCCTTTGGGTCCACACAGGGCCTAAGCTTTGGAGATAAAACCATAAGGCATTCCGATACCAATATTTAATTTTAAAGCAATTCTAGACAATTGTTATTGGCCCATCTGCAGATGCTGAACAAGGTACCAGGAGCCATAGCCCTGACTACATTTTGCAAAAACTGGATGTATCTTACTTTGGAAATATGTTCTACTGAATAGCTTTATCAATACTCCCCTCTGCCAAGGCTACCAAGTATTATGGTTACCAAGTATTAATTCTAAGCTAAAGTACTAATCCTTTATTTCAGAGGAAAAGCATGATGGTGATTCCACCAAGTGTGATATATAATTGACGTGCAAAAACATTTGGTGTACAGTCCTATACAGTAAATGCAATGTCTCTCTGCACAATTCAGAATTGAGCTGAATAAACTGAGGTACTGTACATGTGTAGGTAGCACTTGGTAGTGTTAGGAGACACTTTATGGTCCTGCATCCTTCTGAACACTGACTGAATATGAGATTTAGAAAACTAGACATTTCATGCACCTGTCAGAAATAACTTTTGGTCATTCTGGCTCAGTAAAAGTTTAGGCCTACAATTATAAAAGGCTTCTCCTGCCTCTGATCAACTTTCCTTGCTGTTGATTCACCTTATCTTTCAAAAGAATACATTTGCCAGTGGAGGGCAAGGACTGAATTGGCAGCTGCAGCTATTAAGACAACATCCCCAACATACAGTAGCTATTAAGACAATATAGTATTACATACCCAAACTTAGTGGGATTTGGGCTGAGGCTGTAACACAGCAATGGAACTGTGAAAATACATACTCATAACCATATTCTTCTCTGTCACTAGAGCCTTACAACATATTTCAGAAAAACTGGAACATTTTGACACAACCTTGCTTTATGTAGTTGTGGATAAAATGAAAAACAAGTGTGGAATTTTGAATTTTTAATGTTAAAAATGTTGGCTGTCCAAATTCACAGGGTTTACCAGGTCAATCAGTAACCTATTTTAAAATTATAAAATGCTTTAGAAATGTTTTATTATTGTTCACAATTTTTCATTTTGGAAGGATGCATGCAATAACTACTTTTAAAAGTGAGCAATATTATCTACAAGGAATTGTATTTTGTTTAATAAAATATCCCTTGACAGAACTACATCTATGTGGGCCAGTTTCATCACTTCAGCAAGAATTGTGTGCAGTAAGATTTCATCGTAACACTCTTTTAACTGGAGCCAATCCTACAGTAGAAACACTTTTCAGCTGTTAGAGCACGCAGGGAATAAACCTTTGGCTCAAACCCTCCCTAACTGTAGCCTGAGTAGGGTAATATACTGTAATTGGTTTTCCACATTTGCCAAGAATCTGTTTCCTCTTATCATTCACAATATTTAACACAGGGGCTGTAATAGGTCCAAAAATAATAAAATCTGTCCCAAGAATAGAAGTAATAGATCCATAACATGCTGCTTTTTGTCATGGTCTTGGCTTTGTTAAAGCCTGCTAGTAGTTTTTATTACCAAATGATGTGGTTTCTTTCATGCACAGCAAACCTAGTAAAGACAATTCATCAGCTACTTACATAGTACCGACATGGATTATTTACAGACCAAGACTTCAGTGCCACAATAAAACAAAATTAGTATAGTATACTGTTAATAATGTTACTATGTAGTCAAAAGAGAAACCACTCTTTTTTTAACCACTAGGAAATGAACTGTATAGGAACATATGGACTTAAGCCTTCTTTTGAGAGGTCACTTATCGATATTTCTCTGTATGTCACAATATTTACATAACTCCTTAAGTATGCTTTAATACTTTCTTTTTAATGGCTGAAATCCAGTTTTTTTGGCATAGTAAATTACACTAAAGTAGACCTAATGAATCAATGGAGATCTGGTGAGTCAACTCCTCCAGTTCAATTGATTCAAATAGGTCTACTCTCATTTAAATTTATTTTAGCATAGCAAGTTACAACTAAAGTAGGTTTAGTTGAATTAATGGACCTTACAGAGAAGTTGACTCACAAAATCCCCATTGACTAATTAGGTCTACTGTAGTGCAATATACTATGTCAAGCAACTGGATTTCAGCCAGTATTTTGTCATTGTTTCTGAACTGATTTGAGTTTTCAATAAATAACCAAAATGGGTGATTTGGGAAGACTTTTAATAGAACATGGCAAGACCTAGTTTTATGTAAACTTCTACAGAATCTATGTGTAAATGGGACTTTTGAAACACTATTATTTACAACTACGGAAAATGCCTGGTGACTTCTGAGGCCATGGTCTTTAAAGCTTCATACACTCAAATTTTTCCAGTGATAATCTAAATTGCTGCACTGGCTTCCTATAAAATTAATTAAATTAGGAAGTTTCCATGCAATAGCAGAGAGAAGACTGTGATTGAATTCATCATTACCTTGCTGTGGGAATGGCAAATATATGCACAGCAGGTCTCCCTTGCAGTGTCATACAAATTCTTTATTACAGCCAAATGTATTTTCAGCACCTACAAGCTCTCTTAACATCAATGAACCACTTTCATTTTATCTTTTATATTGATCTGAATATGAAGTGAAACAATAGCTTCAACATAGTTAAGTCTCTTGCATCTTTAATAGGTAAGCAGAGAATTGGTCCCATCACAGTGGCTTAAATCCTTTTGTTTAGTACTGTATAAGAAAATTAATAACATTTAGTCCATTCTTAACCAGAAAAGAAACCATCCCTCCTTTGATTTTTGGGGATGCGCACACATGTACCAAGCCAGTGTGTGTGCATATCCCCAAGAATCAGGGAAGGGAAATCTTCGCTAGCTAGGAATGGACCACATGAACATTCTTATGCTGAGCAACAGAGTTTCACCCAGTAAAATACGAATCTTCTGCATGTACATTTTTTCAGGGTTTAAATAGTCTATGACTATTACGATGGTTGAAGGATTCTACAGTAATTGTAGAAATCATTCTTTTTACTTTTGCACAACTACATCAAGCAGTGAATTGGTCATATGGGAACATCACACAAAGGTAGTTTTTGTACATACATGAACATAAAAACATCCATATGTAACCATACTGAAGTGGCAAAGTAATATTAAAATGAAATAGAAATGGTTTCTGAATCCAAGATCAGGGTAAGCAAAACGTGAAGCACTTCTGTAGATGTGGTGAGCAGTACCAGACCTATGTATTCAACGAAGTTTCAAACGGCCCTAATTGGTATTATAGTTGTAGTTTGCTGCCATATGACTACCTAGATTAGGAATGCACAAGAACTGGCTATTTTTACCTTTGTGAAATTTCAAAGCTATTACTAGGGTACTTGTTTGCTGTAACAACCAGAGACAAGGACTAAGAAATCTTAGGTTCAAATCCAAATCCAGCAAGCAAGCTCACTAAGTGGCTGTGGACCAGCAACTATTTCCCTTACACTTTACCCACCCCTGATGTAGAGTGATCTGCCTGACTTTGTTTGAGAAAGAGTGGAATATAAAAAGTCACAGATAAAATATTTCATTGGAAAGAAATCTAGGTTGTGCTTAGTTCACACACACACTCTCTTATTATTATTCATACTCAAATGGGCTTTACTTTCCTGAGGGATTGATGTTGTAAGAGAAGAAAACCTAGAAAAAGTGTATCATGTCCCGTAATTTGCAGCAACAATCTATTTGCAGAAGTTACAAGCTGTCATAATGAAACAAAAAAATTTCATAGATGTCTGGAACATCTATGAAATTAAATGAGAATGGAGCAAAATAGATAGTTTCTCAATCAAGTATAGTAGCCAGAGGTGAAACAGACATTTATTTTTTAAACCAGAATTATGATTTTCTTTTAGGTTGGACTTTTTAGGCCCTTTCCTACAAATCACGTGTAAGATAGCATAAGTAGAGCAGGACATCTCTGACAATATCCCAGGCAAATCTCCCTCATAACGTTACTATAAAAAGTAAAGTGTTAATTTAGACTTGCAGAAAGGATGATACTAAACAATGTAATAAACAAATAACTGCATAATGTATTTAGTTATTGTTTACCCATCAAGGCACCCAAAGTTAAGAGGTGAAGGATGGAAATATCTTGATGTTTTTATCAGGTCATACTTCCCTCCTTAGATTCTAAACTCAACTCAGAAATGAATTAATTTTTAAAAGCTGCAAAAGTTGGATTCAAGGAATAACTGTCTCTCTTAGTCTGAGCCCTATTAATATTCTATACTTGAATATACTGGTAAACAGGAATCTGGTTTGCAGTACTATAAACTAATTCATTAGAAGCACAGGGAAAATGAAAATAAAATCACCATGTGGATTACAACATTAAAATATTTCCAATTTTGGCTTTTATCAGGATTTTCAATCTGGCAGTTTTATTGTCACACCCCCTTCACAACAGACAAGATGCTTACCATATTAAGATTACATGTTGTCAACCAAAAAGAAAAGAAAAAAAACAAGTTTACACAGTCACTGTACATCTAAATTGAAAAACTGTCCTTGATGAAAGTATACCTAGAAATGAAGAAGCAAATAAAAACTTTAAAGAGTACTGTCTTCATAATGTGTCATTTTATGAGTTTCATCGTTTCCTGTATTTTTTACTCATTATAATATGTTTTAACCTATATAATTAAGGCAAACAGCTATATTCATTTCTGAAGAGGTGCTGTGGGAAGTTGTGAACAAACAGCAAACATTTGGCATTAAAATAGGTAATGCATATGTAGCTTCTAGTAATAATATACATAAAGCATTTTGGACTCTAGAATAATGACAAGAGGGCGAACATGCTAATATGTCAATAAGGTTTAAAATTCAGCATCTAAGCAATTTCTAATAATGTTTTTGTAATTCCAAGCTCTAAACGTATAGAATGTATGCAAATGCATTGAAGAATTATAGCTTGGCAAATACACCCAAGCAGGTTGTTAAACTATATATACAGAAAGTAAATGATAAATACAGAATTAAGAGTCCATCTGCTTTTCTTCAGAGCCTTGCAAATGATCAAAAATTGAGGACAGTTCTACAATATTAAACATTAGGTAGCCACTGTAGTTGGGCAACCTAACTACTCAAACTGATTAAAATACTCAGATGACTTTGTAGTGTTTAATACAGTTTGTAGTCAAGGGCACAAGACAACATTTAACAAAAATAATCACATCAACTGACTTAGAAATCAAATGGAAATATAGATATGAATACAATCTCCAAAACCTGTCTTTAAGTGAACATTAACCATTTATTCAAAGTTTTACAAGAATTTGAAGAATAAAGTCTTCTGCAACATGATACCATCTTACAATAATTTCATGTCGTAGTTGAAACTGAGTGGGAGAGGGTGAAACAAGTTAGTAGGCTCCATCAGGCAGCTAAGAAGTAAAAATAGGTTCAACAGCAGCCTCCACCAGCCTGTTGTCCTCCCTGATTGCCTGCAAGTGTTGCGTTGGTAGCAGCGTGCTGAGGACCAATTTTAATGCCATTTGCCTGAAATAACAAAAGTTGAATGCACATTACTATTTTGAAACACTGCCACAGGCTACAACATTTGAAAGTAGTTAACTGATTTCTGATTTATGAACAGCTAAACTAGTTGTCTCATTTTCATGATAATCAAGCTGTAGGGGGAAAATCCTATTAAAAACACTTCTGGTTGCAATTAAGGAAATGACATCAAGGGTAGGACTTTTGTTACATTACTTCAATTTTTCATTGCTTCTGTAAAAGAGAAGTTAGTAATTTATCACTGCCACTATGAATGTATACAGCATAGGCAACACACAGATTCAAACTGTTTTATAAAGGTAGAAATCATTAATACTCCTAATAAACTGTTGCTCCTAACAGCAGACAGTTCAGGTTTCCATTGGTCTCACACAGCAAAACATTTTACTCTTTTGACTGCATTTCTTTCTATGTTGAGTCAGCTGTACAGGCTAAGGGCATACAAGTGTTCTGTGTCATCAATAATTTCTGTGATCCCCAAAGACATGGCAAGTTGCCAAGAACCACACACAGAGTAGCTCTTTCATTCATCAAACTCACACTTATATCTTAACCCTCACTCCCTCAAGTGGATTTTACCTAAAATACAACAGTTTAAGAAAAGTAATACAGTAGCTTCAGAAATTAAGCTCTTAAGGAAACTTTGCGTCACAGTAAATCTCAGATTTATAGTGCTTGGCAGTTGTTCTGCAACAGTAGTAGCCTTGGGGTTTCTGGCACTAGCTTAGCATTGACAGCAGCTGATGTGGTTTCTTTTCGCTCTTTGACTCCTCTTTAATAAAAAGCATGCCCTATGGCTCATTGGTTTTGCCCCCTCTGGGCTGGTAGCAACTTCTTGAGGAATCAAGGAGCCAGAGTCGGCACTGAGCCAAGTAAATAGCACGCACTGTTGGCTCCTGACAGCATATTGCAATCAAATCTCCATAAGGCACAGTAAAGCAGTCAGATTCTATATGAAACTTGACAGATACAGCAAGCATGCTTTTTCAGAGACCATGATTATTGTCCAATATATATAGTACCTTGCTAAACAACATTTTTTAACTTCAGCTGAGCTGAAGTTAGTTGAAGGAGGAACAAACATGGCCATTCTAAACAAAGGCAGGGCAACTCTTTATGCTATATATATTATAATTTTGATCTTGTATCTAAACTACACAATAAAAGAAACACATCCTAAATGAGTGCTATGCTTTACTAATGTATTTTGCCTTAACACTTAAGTAATTTTCCTGCAGAGTTCACAAGACCTGAAGAATAATAGCACAGAATAAACAACGTTATAACCAACCTAATAACAGCCTTTTAATGCCACTGCCTCTTCAGGCTATACACTGAGAGAAAAGAACTCCTGTAGGACCATGGCAGAAGCCTGCAGCTTCAGACATTTCTGGATGAAACTGATTATGTAGATTCTTTTGAGTCTAGCTTTCAGCACAGTTTTGGGACAAAAACTGCCTTCAATGGTCCACTGAATGACACATGACACAAGATAGACAAAGATTCTATCCAGCCAATTTTCCTGGACATTTCACTGTGATGTGATACCATCAGCTATGACATCCTTCTGGACTAGTATATGGGGTGGGGATGAGTAGCACTATTTGCTTTGGTCAGTGGCCTGTGGAGTTCTCTAAGTTCCCATCTGTCCCTACTGCTATTCAACTATTTTCATCTGGCAGGCAGAGTCATTTAGGCTGTGGAGTCATCAGTATGCAGATGAAACCCAGCTCTACTTCTCCTTTTCACATGATCCTAGGGAGGAAGTGGAAATAATGAACCACTTTCTGACAGCTGTTAAGGGGCTTAGGTGAATAAGACATGCTGAAATGTAATCATGGCAAGGAAAAAAAAATACTTGGTTGGTGAAGTACCTGACTTCAGACTGCCTGACTTCAGGCATATGACCTACTTTGAATGAAATTGTACTTCCTGTGAAAAATCAGGTTCTTGGCTTGGGGTGCTTCTTATTCTTTCTTTCTTTCTTTCTTTCTTTCTTTCTTTCTTTCTTTCTTTCTTTCTTTCTTTCTTTCTTTCTTTCTTTCTTTCTTTATTTTGCTTAATATGCAGGGAAGTCAACTGCAAAAAGTATTTCCCCCCAACTTTGACTAATATGCCAAGGAAACCAGTTGTATGATTCCGTGGAAGTCAGTTTTTGCCTTCTAATTAATAAAGTTAGGCTCAGTTTGAACCAATGATCTATAGATGAAAGACCATGTTCTGAGTATGTCATTTTCAATTAGGGAAGTTAATTATGAGACTTTAAAGAACTTGTCATACAGATCTGAATATATATTGATGTAACTTTCATGAATGAAAGAAGTGAAGGCTTGGTTGGTCTACACATCTGTTTATATGAATCTAACTTCAGATCTCTCTCAGTAAGGAAAATGTGTACTATTATGAAATTTTATAGATAATTTGCCAATTTAACAATAAATCCTATTTACTTACAAGTAAATCCCAGAAATTCAAACAATATTCCCATGAAATTGTGCATAGGAATACTGTGAGGAGTTGGATGTGGTAATATTTAAGCAAGACATATTTCAGATAGCATTTGTTCTATCTTCCACAATAGATAGCTGATACATAGCAGACAAGCTACCTCTAAATCCCTGTTTACACCACTAGTAGTAATTACTGACAGGTCAGAAATGAGAAATAGAAATGGACAGTTCTCTTTGGAGGATTTGATATAGATTCATGGACAGTGACTGTCACTAATATACTCTGTTTCTACATGATACTAAACTAATGAACATAGAAATGTAACTTACAAGATACAGTGGGGTCTCTACTTAAGAACTTAATCCGTATTGGAAGGCGGTTCTCAAGTTGAAAAGTTCTTATGTTGAATCTGCATTTCCCATAGGAATGCATTGAAAACCATTTAATCCGTATCTGCTCTTTTCCGTCCATAGAAACTACAGTGGAACCTCTACTTAAGAACTTAATCCATTTTGGAATGGTGTTCTTAAGTTGAAACGTTCTTAAGTTGAAGCAAAATTTCCCATAGGAATGGACTGAAAACCAATTAATCCGTTCTGGCTGGGTTTTTTTGTTATGTAGAGTTGCGTTCGTACACTGAAGCATTAGGTCCCATAGGAACTAATGCAAAGCTGGTTAATACGTACTCTACCACTAGGGGGAGAATTTTTTTTAACCTAAGATGACCTAAGGTTAAAAAAAGAGCAGGAAAGGTTTTTTTCCCTGTTCTTATCTTGGATTTCTGTTCTCAAGTAGAAGCAAAATTTAGCAAATGGAGCTGTTCTTAAGTTGGATTGTTCTTAAGTAGAGACGTTCTTAAGTAGAGACCCCACTGTATGACTTTAATGTATCAAACTTAGTGCAAAAAGTGATTTGGCCTAAGAGGTAAATATAATGTTTTTATGCTTTCATTTTCAGTGCATGTACTTCATATTTTACAAGTAGCACTCTAGTATTTGGAAAACTTACCTCATTATTAATGTCAAAGACCCCTTCTTGTATTTTCTCATAGATTTCCTTTGCTGTATTAATAAATGCCTGAAAAATAAATAAAAATGTTTCAGAAAACCTTGTATTATGAACATGCTAACAATGCTCCTAGAGGGCCTGCAGTCAATGTTCTCCACAACAGATCTATATTTTATTCCCCAGAAGACATTATCAGGTCAGTCCTCAAACCTAAGCACATGCATATGCACTTGAAGCTGGTCAATCTTTTTATAATGCTGTTAAGAATCCTTAAGGAGGTCAAAGAAGGCTTTAAATGTATTTCTGACTAGCCACCTAGATAATACCAGAGCTGGGCCACTTTCACCACTGGACAAAACAGTAGTCTGATTCAGCCCAAAGGCTGCCTTCCAGAGGTTTTATATTTCCATAAATAGGTAATACACTTTCTCTGTATTTGATCTTTCGGGAAATATTCAGATATTGGAAGATGCTCTTTCTCAGTCCATCTTCTGCATGAAGTTCTTCACATACATTGAAAACCAATATTCTAATCAGGCAGATAATGAACATTTTGTTAGATCGGTATATTAAATTTCCCCCTCCCCTGCTCTGTCCAAATAAATGGTCTTAAAGGCAAGTACTTTTGCCTTAATTTGCTTTAAAATAATTTTTCACCCAAATATTCTGTCTACTAAGGTGGCACAAATGTCTTGACTTCAAAAGAAAATTAATTCTATTAAGTCCAAGTCTTCTAGAGCTTCAAAATGAATATAAAGCTCTTGACTGACCTCATGAAAGCCTTAGGCCGTAGGACCAAAATTTTTTCCAAGCAGCTAAACAGTGGACAGTATTGAGATTAGAATTAATCTAAAGTAGTATGTTATTGCCATTATTATAGAGTGAACCTGTGCACAAAGGTAGCTATGTAAATTTCATAAGTAAACATACCACACACACCCAATTCTCTACTCTGTTATGTCAGAGTGTAGGATTAATTTTTCAGTGCAGATGTCCCAGGCTTTATAAAGCTGCAAGTGCACATTCCCCTGCTTTTACAGAGACAACTATTGTTTCCTCTCACTCTGATACACTACATAACCTGGTGACGCGCCTAATAACTTATTCCACTCATGGACAGGGTTAGAGAAATGTGTGTTTCAATATTAAAAACAACGACTTTCTTCATTATATACTTTAGAAAGAAGGAAGGGGGGAAGACGTCCCTCTTCTACTTTTTAGATAGTTTAATACCGACAAGATAGCTTTATGAGGTCAAGAGTACAGTGATGCCCCGTATGACGACGATAATCCGTCCCATTGAAATAAATGTTTAGCGAAATTGTCGTCATGCGAAAACCCTTTCCCCATTGGAATGCATTGAAACCCGGTTTAATGCGTTCCAATGGGGAAAATACCTCATCGTCCAGCAAAGATCACCCATAGGGAAGCCATTTTGCGAGCACTGATCAGCTGTAAAAATGGCTGCCCTGCGAAGCATGGGTCCGGAAAACACAGGGCAGCCATTCTGCTAACCGAAAAAATCGTCGTCTTGTGAACAAACAGTTTGCAAAGCACGGACCTAATTGCCGCCTAGCGAAAATCCCCCATTGGAATGACTGTTTTGCGAATCGCTATAGCGATCGCAAAAAGTCATCATTATGCGGATTCGTCGTTTAGTGGGGTCGTTGTCTTGTGAGGTACCACTGTATTTGTAAATCTAGCCCAGGACCTTTACATCTGCTAGTATATAGTTATAAATAGCTATCAGGCTAGCAGGATCACAGATATCTGCTTTATATGAGATCAAACTACAGTATTTGTTCATCAACCTCAGTGTTGTCTCCTCTGACTTGGTCATCCTAAGTCACAGGTAGCAGTCTTTCACATCACACACTGTCTAATCCTTTGTAATACAGCAGAAGGTCTCAAGCCTACAGGAAAGTAACATACATATTTTTTCCCCTCTTCCCTTCTGCTGAGCCTCCCTCCATTACCACAGATATGAACAGAATTATGAAGTTCTTATTCCAAAGACACTCTCCTAGGAACTGAGCATTCAGTGCAAAATTATGATGCAATAGTTGTAGATATTAAATCTGGAAATCCAATATTGTTCAACTACAATCACAGAATGAACTTCCATATTTATTTTTAAGTTCCTCAATGTTCATGACACTCCATGTTCACTGGCAATCCTTTTTTACACATCACCTTTTCAGTTTTCAGAATATGATTTTATTAAATAGGTTTTTACTTCACAGTAAAAGTTTGCAAAGATGGAGAAGCTCTACACAGTCAGCAAAAACAAGACCTGGAGCTGACTGGCTCTCATTATCAGCTTCTTATAGCAAAACTCAAGCTTAAACTGAAGAAAGTAGGAGAAACCACTGGACTAGTCAGGTATAATCTAAACCAAATCCTTTACGAATACACAGTGGAAGTGAAGAACAGATTTAAGGAACTAGATTTGGTGGATAGAGTGCCTGAAGAACTATGGATGAAGGCTCATAACATTGTATTCGCGAAGGCTTTCACGGCCGGGCTCTAATGGTTGTTGTGGGTTTTTCAGGCTTCTTGGCCGTGTTCTGAAAGTGGTTC